ACTGAACAAACATGCATGAGGTACATACTGAATGATTAGTAACTGAACAAACATGCATGAGGTACACACTGAATGATTAGTAACTGAACAAACATGCATGAGGTACACATTGAATGATTAGTAACTGAACACACATGCATGAGGAACACATTGAATGAGTGTTAACTGAAGAAACATGCATGAGGTACACATTGAATGATTAGTAACTGAACAAACATGCATGAGGTACACATTGAATGAGTTTGTACTGAACAAACATGCATGAGGTACACATTGAATTAGTTTGTATTGAACAAACATGCATGAGGTACACATTGAATGATTAGTAACTGAACAAACATGCATGAGGTACACATTGAATGATTAGTAACTGAACAAACATGCATGAGGTACACACTGAATGATTAGTAACTGAACAAACATGCATGAGGTACACATTGAATGATTAGTAACTGAACAAACATGCATGAGGTACACACTCAATGATTAGTAACTGAACAAACATGCATGAGGTACACATTGAATGATTATTAACTGAACAAACATGCCTAAGGTACACATTGAATGATTAGTAACTGAACAAACATGCATGAGGTACACATTAAATGAGTTTGTACTGAACAAACATGCATGAGGTACACACTCAATGATTAGTAACTGAACAAACATGCATGAGGTACACATTGAATGATTAGTAACTGAACAAACATACATGAGGTACACATTGAATGATTAGTAACTGAACAAACATGCATGAGGCACACATTGAATGATTAGTAACTGACCAACATACATGAGGTACACATTGAATGAGTTTGTACTGAACAAACATGCATGAGGTAGACATTGAATGATTAGTAACTGAACAAACATGCATGAGGTACACATTGAATGATTAGTAACTGAACAAACATGCATGAGGTACACATTGAATGATTAGTAACTGAACAAACATGCATGAGGTACACATTGAATGATTAGTAACTGAACAAACATGCATGAGGTAGACATTGAATGATTAGTAACTGAACAAACATGCATGAGGAACACATTGAATGAGTTTGTACTGACTAAACATGCATGAGGTACACATTGAATGAGTTTGTACTGAACAAACATGCATGAGGTACACATTGAATGAGTTTGTACTGACCAAACATGCATGAGGTACACATTGAATGATTAGTAACTAAACAAACATGCATGAGGTACACATTGAATGAGTTTGTACTGAACAAACATGCATGAGGTACACACTGAATGAGTTTGTACTGAACAAACATGCAAGAGGTACACATTGAATGAGTTTGTACTGAACAAACATGCATGAGGTACATATAGAGTCAGAAACTGATTCCAAAAGCGACAAAACCATTTCCATGATCTTAAGAAACCTCTGCTACAAAGTCCTTTGTACGAATGCGACTATATCAAAAGCATGTGTTTATGAATCACCATCAAACATCAAAGAAAGGAAAGAACGAGAAATTGAACAAACATTAATCTGGAAAAGGTTCGAAAGGAGAAAGAGAAATCCTGAAGAGAGTTGAACCACCCAATACACAGAACTGTTACATCCTAATACATGGCCGTAGTAGTAGCAGCAGCACCACAGTAGTAGTAGTAGTAGTAGTAGGAGTGGTGATTGTTGTTTGTGGCAGTGTTGTTGCTTTTAGTAATGGCAGTGAAAGTGATAGCTCGTCTGTGCGTCATGGTAGTAGTAGTTGTGGTTGTATAGGTAGTAGTTGTGGAGGTGGTATAGGTAGTAGTAGTGGCGGTGGCGGTCGTGTAGTAGTAGTGGTGGTCGTGGTGGTGGTGGTGTTCTGGAAGTGGTGTCGAATGTGTCCCTTATAGTGCTAGAAGCTGTTATAACAGTGATATACGAAGTGGTAGTTGCATACTGTAGATGTATACAAAATACTCCAACCTACAGTGGGTCACACGGCCCGACATCCCGACTTTAATGTACCTGATATGTCTAAGTAGAACACTACACATACAAATACATTCAAGAACTCGCATATTTACACATACCGCATGATAATTATATTGCATCAATACCAGGCTTCAAAAACAAACAAAGACGATTATTTTAAACGTCAGAGTATGTCTGCACCCATGCCCGTAGGCAGGGAAACAACATCACATACACCCTAAATAAGAAAGGTACAGGGGTCAGTTTATCATGCGATAAACTTAATTGGTATTTCTTGTAAACATAACTGAGTGATATTGACCACTATTGATTGACTATCAATGGGGTTGAACAAAGAAACTTGGGGGTATATGAAATGTACACGAGACGTGCATTTCTGGGCTTCACGAGATCTACTGTGTCAATAGCATGACTGTTAAGCACGGACGAGAAATTGATTTCAGCTTGTCGGTGTCATATTCAGGCAATCACGGTCGGATAGTCGGACATGAACTGTGGTTATATGTAAATGTTTACAATGTCCAATATCACGAGGTATCGTTAAAAAATAAACATATACTGACACCTTTGAAAATGCATGTTCCAATTTTTTTAAATATTTGGCAAAATGGTCACAAAAATTAAATTAAGTTATACCGGGATACTCCAAGTTCTGGGATAATCAGTGATAATGAAACACAACAATGTCATCGTACTGGTTCGGATATCATTCCATGTGTTTCGAGATGTATTGCCCAAATCGTTTTCACGTCATGAATTTCGAGTTAATGTTGATTATGCTTGTCCAGTGGCTTTCAGTATAGGAAAAGGACATATGAAAACTGCAGTCGTTTTAAATGACAGATTATGTGATTTATATTTTCGGATTGTAATGTCTTAATATTGGTTATTACAGGCCCATGGAATCGCCTAACTTGATTGTTTATTACCTTTGTGTATTATTTTGTTTATAAACTGAATCTCGATGAGCATTTCATAAGCCATTAAAGACATAAGCGTATTACCGTCGTAAACTTACTGTGTGCCATTGAGGCCCGACATAAGTAAACTCACCATGCCTATTCGTCATAGAAGAACCTAGTAGAAAATTATCAACATTATTATAAGTATTCCCTTAATGCCGTTGACACTACTTTGTTCCGATCAAGACTCAAAACCTATCTTTTCACCAAATCTTTCTTGGAGTATTGAGGCTTTGTGTTTTCCTAGCTGTGTAATGTCTCTTTTTTGTGCAGACTCAAATGAAGCGCTTTTGAGCAGTTCTTCGAACTGTATACCAGCGCTATATAAATCTGTAGTTATATATATTTCTTTGTGTTCCTGGAGAGGTTTATTCAGTAAGGAAAGTTGTCTGACGTTGATAAGTAAAACGACGTTACGACATTGGACCAGTGTAAAAACAAGCTTGGTTTGGACTGATCCATATAAGCACCACCATCCCCATCCACTTAAGACAGATTAGTCAAGGAATACGACTAAATCGGGTTTTGTGCAGCGTTAACATGTGTCATGGATGCAGCCTTCTTTTGGCTACAGTTCCTTTCGTCTACAGTCGGCTCGACTACAGTAACTGTGGTAAGGTGGGGTGTTTCGACTACACCCAGTTAATCCCATCCCTCACTTGATAATGGACGGTACAAACTCCATACTACTAGAGAACAACCTTAATACAATTAAAACTCTCAAATGTCTTTCAGTTATTTTAGTGTAAATACATTAAACCACTGATCGTCCCAAAGACGTGGATTACTAAACGCAAGATAAAGATTATTTATTTACACTTGTAGGAGTTTATCGCCAAGGATTAACTACCTTCTTTCCTTTGAGTAAACAGACGAGCTAACGCTTTAACCACTAGGCTACCCGACCGCCACACAGAACTTAGAAAAAACTGAAAAGAACAATCTTGCCCAGTCTCTGCATGGTGCCAGACTTCCTCCTCGATGCAGACTGTACAAGGAAATTGATCAAAGGTTACAGAGGCTGAAGGACCACTCCGGAGTCCCCTTCGGCATTCCTTGATGCTGCAGGACATTTAGTTAAAATTAATTGAACTGATATTGTATTGTTCGTCTGCTGCCGCAGTGCAGAATTCTTATAATTACTATTTTTCAGAAATGTTAATATTACATAATTCTTGTTCATCAGCTGCTGCGGCTGGGGAAATGAACAGAACTCTTGTTGTAAAGGAATAGTGCTTGTTGATTATACTATGATATGTAATATTTGGTCATAGTAAATAATTAATAAATATGTGAAACTCTTACTCCTTTACACGGCCAAGTCTGCTATGTTTCTGAAGGGGCCAGCTTATTACCCCTCTAATCACTCGTGCATAACTTTTGATAACAATGTAGACGAAGCGAACTGTAAACGAAAGTGTGCTCCTCCTAGTCGTGTATTCACTTAGGAACATATATGTTCTGATTACATAACCATTGTAAAAGGATTTACTCTGTAATTATATATGGTTTCCCTAAGCGGTTACGAGGTATTTGTTAATAAAGTGTTATGTGACTCTTTAAGTATATCGTGACAAAGCTGTACTGACGAATTATACTTAACCAGTCGTAAAACATAATAACATTAAATAATATATTTGATGCGTAATTTCAACGAGCTGAAAGCACTGAACAAGCATGAAGACCAAACATATCACAGTGGTGTATAATTATTAAATAATAACCTGCCTATTTATAATGTGTCAAATCCACATCCTGAGGCATGTTCAAAGCGCTACATTTCATTCTCAGCTACCTGGGGAGTATACAACCCAAGATGTCTGACACTAGATGGCTAACAGAACATAACAACCTTCCGGGTACCCATTCACTGCTGGGTGAACGCATGTTTTGAACAAAGTATGCATCATCTTAGGGCAGGATCGAAGCTCTAGAAGCTCTCAGGTGTCAAGCCGCCGAACGTCACCCATCCAACTACTCTCCGCTTAACTTCCTCTGATTAGTGACCTGTGCCCTGTACACAGGACCACGTGACACCAGACGTGTATCTCTGCAAGTATCTTTAAATAAATAGTGGCGATAAGCATGATAATTTGAAGTAGTTAATTCTGACTGATTTTAATAACTATGTCATCACAGTAAGTGTCTTTGTGGTAAACATTAAAACATAACAAGACAACGCGTCATCCATGTTTATCACAGACAAATGAGAATTCCTCTCACAACCGGACATACCCGTGTATTATTGGAACCATAACACAGTAAAATTCCAAATTTCGTCTCTCCTCGTATTCGAAACTGAGAGACCGGAAACTGTTTGTCTACCATACTGCGCATGGTCATGTCAGTGGGTAACAGTAAAATAGCAAGACAATGAGGCGTGCACGCTCATCACAGACAATACGAATTCCTCTCACGAACGGACATACCCGTGTATTACTGGAACCACAACACAGTAAATTTCCCATTTCGTTTCTTCTCACATTCGTAACTGAGACCGGAAAGTGTTTCGCTACCTTATTGCGCATGATCATGTCCACGTCATTTCCGTCATTGTCCAGCAATTCTCTATCGGTGAATATGGCTGTCCATCTATCTTTCTCCCATTTTGATTCCGTTTGGCTAATAATCTTCTAGCTTTACTCACATTTGATTTATTAAAAGCAGGAGCAGTTTTAATTCGGTTCGCTTGATCGCCATTCATAATATTCACACGAATGCCCCCACTGGTCAAATCATGATTTGATTTTTTGAGTTCTTGCGCAAGCCTTTGCGCAGTTAAAGAAGCGGGGGCAGATGTCACTTTCCCTCTTTCCAAACTCTCGTCCCGCTCTCGTCTCGTCTTTAAATGTTCTTCACCATGAACAACGATAAATGGCATATTATTGTCCCCTGTTTTCGACGCTCTGTCCAACTGGGTGGTTGACTGTGACAGCACAGGTAGACCATGAACAAGCCGTTCTACTTTCTTGCGTTGGTCTTGGTAATGGCTATAGGAAAATTTGACAACAGGTAAAGGCGACTGATATGAAACTTTATCAACCAGGGCAGAACTCGTGTCCATCGTGCAATCTGAATTTTGATGATATTTCACATCCTCTCCTCTGAGAGGGACAGACGATTTGAGCATCCCTTGAAAACTAAACCCACCTGTTTCCTCTGACGGGTATCCGATCACATTGCTACACATGCTCCCTTCACGAAGGTGGTGATGGACCTCTTCACACCATTTCTCAATCCACCTCCTTTTGAAGCTCGTGAGAGACATCTTGAAGACGATTAAATTGCTTTGGTTTACAATGTTGTTTAGATTCCTCCAAATCGCGACACTCCATTAATAAATATCGACGCAAGATGGGGATATTCAGCACGAATCAAACAACATGACGGTTCCAATATTTCCAACACTGGACCTCATTTTACTACAATACACCAATACAAAGATTAGTATCCCATTGACTGTCACTGGCCGCATGAATGCCCGTCATAATCTCCAGAACTCAATCACGAAGGTAGCAACCTGGATCGGACGAAAAACATTCTCTACACTATGTCCGTCTTCCCCGTTGCCTCGCAGACCTGCCCGGTCGACCCATTATACCGACTGCGTTGTGTCTTAGTCTTGCTGACTACCAAACTTTTAATTAGACTGTGCTCAACACGCTAACATTCATTCAACACCTATTCACACCTCCTGCGGTGCCCTCCCTTTGATAAATAAAGTAGTGACTTGCAGTGATCAAATTATATTGATTAGCCAAGTGTTGCTAATAGAGCGACGTGTACCTACAGCTTACCGCCCGTTGTATCATACTTCTGATCCAAGGCCATAGATAACTTTTTTTGACAGGGGGGGCAAATAAGATTATTCATTTTTTATTCAAGTTAACTTTCACAAGGAAAAATGTTTTCTGTAAAAAATCCAGGGTGGCAACTGCCCTCCCTGCAACCCCGGCTGGCTACGTCACTGTGATCTGTATATAAGCAGGCGGGTGGTGTGTTATTCAGGTTTCCTTCGGAGATTAATTGCCTTTCTGACTGCATTTTCAAGTGGAGAACCGCAGATTATAGGATCAGAGTACATCGGCATTACTTCAAAACAAAACCCCTCTTAAGAAGCTATTCATACACACGTTATGGTGATTGGACTTAAGGTGACTAAACACAGCCAAGCGTGCACGGTGTGCCTGTTGGAATATCGGAGCTGGGTATTAGGACTCCAGAGATATGCACTGCATGGGATCATATCGCCAACTTATATATTGATGTGTGTTTTATTTTGAATATATTGGTTTACAGATCACTCGAGCCTGAACATCAGGAATATTTTAAACAATAAAATTCATGTTTGAAGATTCTGATATTACGGTCAATCTTGATTAACACTTAACACGAAACAAAGTCACAATTTGTTTCTGTTGTTGACGCAGACACGTGATAGACGCGCAGTACCTTGTTAAAGTTCGCTCAAAGCACGCGAGATGTAAAGCAACGATGAATGTATTCATAGTTCCACTGGTTCAATGTAAACGTTATTTTTTTATATTCCTGTGACATTTCACAAAAACGAAAAATTGAGAATTTGATATAAAAAACCTTTCTTATTCTTTCCATCTTATATGTTTACACAAACGATAAAAAATATATAGGTTAAATCAATTTCCACAAGTGACCTTGAGAAATTTGCGAAAAATATCTAAACGAACTAATTAAAATACAAAACAAACTGAACTAGTAACAAGCAAATATTTGGACAGGGGCCAAATCAGTCAACGTTACACGGGAACCGCAGCACAAAGTAATGACAAGCGTTCGTGGCTTGACAAGGCCGAAAATCTATATCTTGATAATTATTCATAATGTCTAAGATACCGTTATCAGACAAAAAAACATAATTTTGGTCTGGCGTTCGTCCTACGTCATGCAGTTGTCGTTCCTCGCACAATGTGCATTCCCATGGCAGTTCAATAATGTAAGGGGTTTGTGATATGAATACTCATTTATTCTGCAATCGAACAATGTAATCCTCGACGTGAAGGCTGGTGTATGGCCGTCGGGATAACATCTTGACGGGTATTTAACATGGAAACGTTGGACTCAGCGTTTTAACTACATGTACATGTATGTCAAGACCTGGTTGTAATACTGCCGATAATATTTTAGTTATAGTGATGTAAAACATAATGCATGCAGTAACAATGATAATAATTAAATAATTATAAGGGACTACCACTACTACTACTACTACTACTGCTGCTACTACTACTACTACTACTACTGCTACTACTACTACTACTACTGCTACTGCTGCTGCTGCTGCTGCTGCTGCTGCTACTACTACTACTACTACTACTACTACTACTTGTGTGAAGCCCATTTCTGGTGTCCCCCGCCGTGATATTGCTGGAATATTGCTAAAAGCGGCGTAAAACCATACTCACTCACTCACTACTACTACTACTACTACTACTACTACTACTACTACTACTACTGCTACTGCTACTGCTACTACTTGTGTGAAGCCAGTTTCTGGTGTCCCCCGCCGTGATATTGCTGGAATATTGCTAAAAGCGGCGTAAAACCATACTCACTCACTCACTACTACTACTACTACTACTACTACTTCTTCTACTACTACTGATGCAGAGATGCTAGGCAATCCCTTGGCTAAGGCGTACATGTATATGTGGTCGATGTTGCCTCACTGGCAACTAATATACGTATATGATAAGGTATTCGTTACAAAGATATTATCATACAAACTTCTAAATAAGAAGATAGACATTAATATAAATACAACTGGCCTAAGACTATGATTAGTTAGCGTTGTGGTTTTTGTTTTGATTCAGAAAAGTCAAAATAATAGGGATTAAAATAGGTTTAAGCATTTTGGTTCGTTTGTTTGTTGTTAAACGCCACACTCAGCAATAATCCAGCCAATAAAAAAATCGATTCTGGAACCAAACAAATCAGTGATTGATATCAGGAGCAACATCCCACGCCGCCCAGGTACAGTGAGTGAGTGATTGAGTGTTTGAGTGAGTGAGTGAGTGAGAGAGTGAGTGAGTGAGTGAGTGAGTGAGTGAGTGAGTGAGTGAGTGAGTGAGTGAGTGAGTGAGTGGGTGGGTGGGTGAGTGAGTGAGAGAGTGAGTGGGTGGGTGGGTGTTTGGGTGAGTGAGTGAGTGGGCAGATGAATGAATGGATGGATGAATGAATGAATGAATGAATGAATGAATGAATGAATGAATGAATGAATGAATGAATGAATGAACCTGATCAAATTCAAGAGTTTATTATCTATTTATTTAGAAGGGAGACTATCTTCTCAGGACAGTCCTGCTAGCTACCTAGCACTCCACATACCTCACCCTCAAAAGTAAAATGAAGCCCAATATATTATTTCCTATCACAACAAAGCATTTACTATTCATTGCACAACAAGGCCTAGCTTCCGACCTTCAGTCAAGTCTATTCTTTGTGACGTGAACCCTGGTCTGATGGAAAAGTCCTGGCTTAAACCTGTACACTGATGTCGGTCACTGCCAGACAGCAGACAAGAGAGGTACCCTGTTGGTAGGCGACGAGAGAGAAGGTCTGTTGTTACACCATCAGTTACAGCTGGTCCCAAGTTGTTTGTTGGTGTCATTGTCACCTGCTAGGTGCAAGGCGAAGATATATCTCAATGAATCACCCGGACACGGGGTGGACGTGGTGTACTTATATTGATCTTAGGTGAAAATGCCGTCCACAAAGTTACACAAAAGGTACAAGGTTATTGCAAAACTTTATCTGCTGTTGTGTCAGATTCGGCAAATTAATGGAATATAAAGAAGTCTGATAAATAACCCCACCATAAATGAATGTAATTTGCAGTGATGACAAAAAGTGAAGGTAAAATAGTCGAGGAAGCGTTAAATCGCCAACCCATCTAAGTGACTGAGTGAGTTGGGTTTAACACCGTTTTTAACAGTATTCCAGCTATATAACGGCGTATCAGCTAAATGTGAGAGGAAAGCCCGAAGTGATGCAGGTCTCAGACGTTTACCACTTCGGTGAAATCCACGAGCATGGTATGGTGCTGACAAACCTAGAAACATAATCGGGGCGAACCGGGATTCGAACCCACAATCATAGGTTTCTGGCGTGCCCAAGGGACGCAACTCTGCACACCGAATCGCGGCGTCTTAGACGACTGGGCCACGCGTGCCCCCGCCAAACCATCTAAGAAGCCACGTGGTATTTGTTAATAATATCCTCACCTCCAAAAGAAACGCGAACCATAGAAACATATAGAGAAGTATGTAGGTTCAGAAGAGACGTTTCCAATGTGTACCAGTTGAAGACAAAACTAACAATCAGTCAAGTGTAACTACAGTGTCTTTATTCTTATCACGATATGTTGCACGTGATTTCCCAACTTAAGACGCTTGTCCTGCACGAGAAAAATGGTGCATCTCGAGTCATGGGTCTATGACGTCACAAGTGATGCGTTCATGAGTATAGGTTCACACAACATGGCCAGTATGTTGACAATGTTTATTTGTGCATTGAACCAATCTAATACCTGTTGAATGTGAGTAGTTGGCGAGTATATATAATTTGGAATCACGGTAACTCAAGTACCGAATGGGTGAAGGAAAAGTGGGGAAGAGCAATGACCGGAAGGGGGAACTATAGTCCGAGAGACCCGACAGCGGTACGTCTCACCCCAGTGAGGTCCCGGGTTTCAATGTGGTCGAAATCTGGTTTGACAACATCCAACACAGTCTGTGTAAAATGACACAATGCACACAGCCAGGGCAAACCCATAACCATCCTGTTCCCATCTCTTACGGAAGACTTCGAGTTATGGAGATCCATTTTGCTCCGGAATACGTAATATGCTTCTAATGAAAGTCGGATACAGTAAACTACGGTTATAACGAACTCAAAGGGACTACTTATTTTAGTAGTTCGTTATAAGAACATATACAGCATGACCACAGCAAGTAGTCGGGATCAAAAAGTAAGTTCGTTATATCCGTCATTTCGTTATAAGCGTGTTCGTTATAACGGTAGTTTACTGTATTTCATTCCGATTCGATACCTCACAAAACAACCTCCATATGAGGTCACGTTAAGTGCACTTTCTAATCAGCCAATCTCAGTTGTGAAAAGGCAAACTGTCATTTTCATGCAAATCATTTCATCTAACGATATATTCCACATGTTTGAATCCATGCACTGGTGGCCCAGTCGTCAGGGGCACCGCCATTCGCTGTTCAGAGTTGCGTCCTTTTGACGTACCAGAAACATATGGTAGTGGGCTCGAATTAAGGTTCGCTGATTATGTTTCTAGGTTTGTCAGCCCAATACCCTTTGCGACGAAACCCTTTCTGTAATCGTAAGGAATCCGATGTCCCGTGAATCACTATCCAATATAATGGTGTACGTCCGTACCAAAACATACAAAGGCAATCAACTGTTTACCCGAAACAAACGGGAACATATGGCACAAGTCAAAGAAGGAAATTGCATCGGACATTATTTTGATCACGAATGGATATGTCATCCTCATCTTTACCTAAAACGTTCTAAAAACTTTACTAACCTCTTGAAGGTTGTAATTCCAATCAAGCAGCTTTTGAGCAGGAATCGCATGGCACTCTTTGAAAGAACAATACAATTATACCTCAAGAGAAGTCATCCCTCTTGCAATACAGTCTTGCTGATATTTTATTGTCACTCTGAATCTTTATGCAAAGGTCTGAATATGAAACAGATGAGGCGGCTTCACTGGTCTCTCTTATTGCTAGTTCTGGTGCGTTATTGGTCCATAGCAGATCATCGATGTACCTAAAGCTTAATTTAATCAATGTTCCCTTGCTTTGATTTTAATTGTGCTTCTTAAGTGCCATTTCCCCCGGTAATCTCTCTCAGCGTTCCATCATATACACGTACAATATGTTGCAGTGGTGAAGACGGGTGGCATCCTGGCCTGTGTCGCGGGATCTTGCACAGAGTATATCCCTTGACCGTGGAGCCGCTGGCGATGGGTTGGAGATCACCCGTAACTCGGTTCTTTTAGCCCCATGCCCATGCTATCTCAGCAGCTTGAGGTTTCCTCTGACGGTAAACGCTGTGATATGAGTGAAATACTGCTAGGAAACCCCTCAAATCCAACTCACTCAGTTTACTTACGAGGGTTTGCCGATAAGTTCTGAGGCTCACATAGACGCGATTGTTTTGCTGTGAGAAATCGGTAACATAAATAGGGGTATGTGACTTTGGAAAATGGACAACTTCAGGAACGTGCAGTGATCAAGTACTTGCAGAAATAGGGCTTCACAGTAAAAGTAACCAGTGATGCCCATGCTATGAGCGCAACACAAGGATAGGATGCCCCTCCCTATACCACCGTAAAACGGGGGAAGCAAAGGTTAAGTGAGGCAGTACGAGCACCGATCGCGAAGACGACCAACGTCCTGGAAAGCCTGTGACGTCCGCAGCACCAGAAATGATCCAGAGAATCCACGATATGGTGATGACCGACCGACGAAAGACTGGGTGTCATAGTGCTAGTTCGAAAGGCATTTCCCTTTATCAGAGAAACCTCAGCAAGCACGAAAGTATCAGCTCTTTGGGTTCCAAGCTTTTAACAGAGCATGTCCAGGGATAACCTGGCTCTGTTTGAAGCTGATTCAGAAAGGTTCTTGCATCGATTTGTGACTATGAATGAAACCTGGGCTCCAGTCTGAGCCAAAGCATCAATCAAAACAGTGGGACATTTGACAACACTACCTCTAAAGAGAGGCAAAGACTGCCCCATCAGTTGGAAAGGTTAATTATGGACTTCGTGTTCTTAATCTTGAGGATGCCATCATGGTGGACTATCTTCCAAATGTCCAGACGCTGGTTGGTTGGTTGTTGTTTAACGCCGCAATATTCCAGCTATATGACGGCGGTCTGTAGATAATATAGTCTGGACCAGATAATCCAGTGATTGATATCATGAGCATCGATCTACGCAATTGGGATGCGATGACATTCATCAACCAAATCAGTGAGCCTGACCAGCCGATCCCATTAGTCGCATGGGTTGCTGAAGACCTATTCTACCCTGGATCTTCACAGGTCGTCCAGACAATGGACGGAGCATATTATGCTGCACTTTTGAGGCACATACGGTAAGAATGTAAGACTAAGGGACATTTTTAATGTCTTCAGGTCAAGTCTTTCTAAGTGATGCTCAGAACATGTCCGTCACCCCTCGTTTATAGGTAGGTTTACCCGCATGACGATACTCAAACATGACGCACGATGGAGAGGTTCATTTGTTCATAGTTTAATAAAAAAACACAAATGGTAGAAAATAACAATTGAGCTGTTACCATTGGGCACTGATTAATTTATACACATTGACCGTGTTAACATACGTGTATCACATAGAAAAAAACAGAAATGGTAGAAAATAACAACTGAGCTGTTACCATTGGGCATTGATTAATTTATACATATTGACCGTGTGAACATACGTGTATCACAACGTTTAAGATCGATTACTTTATTATAAATCATTCAATCATTCCAGTGACGGAACTTGTTTTTTTAACAAACCTGATAACCTTCTATAACATTGCCCATCAACCGTTAATCGAACCCGAAGATATCTAATGTAGGTCAAAGTCTGTTCAACTTAACCCTGCGTCCTTGACAATGACCTACTTGTATTAACAACAGGTTCAAGGACAAAAGAAACCTGATAACCTTCTAAAACATTGCCCATCAACCGTTAATCGAACCCGAAAATATCTAATGTAGGTCAAAGTCTGTTCAAGTTAACCCTGCGTCCTTGACAATGACCTACATGTATTAACAACAGGTTCAAGGACAAAAGAAACCTGATAACCTTCTAAAACATTGCCCATCAACCGTTAACCGACCCGAAAATATCTAATGTAGGTCAAAGTCTGTTCAAGTTAACCCTGCGTCCTTGACAATGACCTACATGTATTAACAACAGGTTCAAGGACAAAAGAAACCTGATAACCTTCTAAAACATTGCCCATCAACCGTTAACCGACCCGAAAATATCAAATGTAAAGACGCCACCAGACCTCATAATTCATTGAGGTCACGTGGCAAGACGGGGTTGCCTTTTGTTTGTTGTTGAAATTAGGTCGTATCGCGCCATGGAATGTGTAGTCATGAATAAACCGTAAGACTCATAATAAGTTCGATTATGATGAGATAAGGTTACTACTCAAGAGAAGATAAAGAAGACCCGATTTTTTCATATAGCAATAATTAATCTGTGATAACAAAGTAGACACAATGTATGGATAACAACTTCTTTAATTACTGTTAAGGCGACGTTTCGGTATCGATCTTATACCGTTGTCTTGCTTGATAAAGGTATCATTAGGATCTATACCAAAACGTCGCCTTTACAGTAATTAAAGAAGTTGTTATCCATAAATTGTGTCTACTTTGTCATCCGTCAACTTCTAAGTAATGCCTATCAAACAATTAATCTGTGATAGCATGACGGAATAACTATAGTCATATAAAGATTTCTTTCTTTTGAGTAGTATATAGTATAATATGGTTTCATAGCAAGTCAGCATCAGTTCATGTGTTACACGTGCACACTTTTTAGGAAGTGTTGCCGTTTTGGTCATGGAATTGCATTAAAAAATCCAGAACATGTTAATGTGTGATAGGCCGTGTAAATAGATACACACGGGCTGAATAGCAAACATATTGGCGAAGTAAGAAACAGTTGTGATTTACAGGCCGCTTCACGCACAAATCCAAATTATTTCATCAGGCGATCAGGTTTCATGGAGTGTAGAATCTTTATTATGCACGGGCATTTTTAAAATATTTTTAAAACTCACAGTTTCATTTAAACAGTTTATCAAAACAATCAGACATATTAGCTACATTCGACCATCCACTTGCCACGTATATCGCGGATCCATGACAAAAACGTTTTCCTTCTACCTTACAGTGTAAGAAGGCTCATTGGTTGTGCCCAACTAATCATAACACATGTAACATAGCAGAAGCGGTCAGATGTGCATTTACCGTAAGTCCTTAAATAAACGCAGGGTAGACCTCCTCATCGAAAGCAACTAAAGCCATGTCAAGCGTTTTTATTGAACGAAACTGGGGCAACAATAAAATTTGTTTCTCATCAAATAAAATGATATTCACGATTTAATTTTTTTTATTTATAAGTACATAAATGGCCGTTATTAGACTCTGAAATTGTGTCAGTTTTGCCATGAAATATTTGAAAACTAGAGAGCTGGACAGCCTCTCTGCAAAACAATATACGCCTGCTGAGAATAAATGCCTGCTCCGAGAACCAGGTGTTTATTAAATGATTTACGGTAAACTGACATTGTCACAACCAGAAAGCAATCAAGGACAAAAAAGCGGACATGCATGTCAAATAGCACCAAATACATAGTTACTTTTATCTCTCGCAAGTGTTTTACACTCAAAACGTTGATTTCATATCTTACAAGTCAGCATAATTTTCCGAGACGTAGTTTTTTACACCACTTTCATCGTACACATTTTAACATTTTGTACATAACGTATGATTCGTATTTTACTCTACTCAAGTCATATAATCGATTATGGTCAATGTAGTTACAGAACAAAAATGTAATAAAAATTGGAGTCAAGGACAAGAGGCTGAAGGGACACATCAGGATTACATCCATTTGCTCTTGGACACAAATTTCATAAATTTCCGTTACAGAAACAGATATGTATGTATGTATGTATGTATGTATGTATGTATGTATGTATGTATGTATGTATGTATTTATGTGTGTGTGTGTGTATGTATGTGTGCGTGCGTGTGTGTGTGTGTGTGTGTGTGTGTGTGTGTGTGTGTGTGTGTGTGTGTGTGTGTGTGTGTGTGTGTGTGTGTGTGTGTGTGTGTGTGTGTGTGTGTGTGTGTGTGTGTGCGTGTGTGTGTGTGGACATATAGAAAAATAATAAAGAAGATCATATTGAAAAAAAAGAAAGATTTGACTTATTCGAAACCTTTTGTCTACGTACGCATACATATTCATATGTTATGTGGCTGGCACATAACATAACCATTTACCCCTATAAGTGGTAAAACATGAAAAATACATAATTTATAAACCTTTATCAGTCATGCATATTTTAAAGCAAAACTTGTGTTTGATGACTACGGACAATGGCGGTGAAATACTGAGCGTAGGGTTCCCCCTTATAATGCAAGTAACAATCATTCCAGATAGTATGTCAATCTTCATGTGATATCAAAACTGTTACAACAATCAGTGATGTTCCGGGTGCGGCTGTTCGGATAACCCCCACAATGGAGTCATATATCAGATACCTTATCGCAACGAAAACCTCCTTTCCTCTTCCTATCATTATCATATGCTTCACCGTCGTACGAGTCTTTGCCACGCCGAGTGATAAACGACACACCTGTGTACTGCGTCCACTCAACGACCGATTAAACACCATTTATCACCAATACCCTTGAACGTCACGGATTTGTCGAGAATGAGCCACGATTACTACCGAGTTTCATTCGTTATCATTCGTTTTTTTCCGTCAACTGAACGAAATGTTACGAGTGATCCCGAACGTTACGAAGACATTTTTCCTCAGCACTGAATACCTGTGACTCATTGCATGCTGTCTCTCCGTTTATCTAAGGAGCAGTCCCACTCGCGCTGTTTGAAGTATCACAACAACGACTCATCGCTGCTGTCAAGGTTCACGATTCCACATAACTGTTTTAAGCACTCAAAGAACATGTAAGAGAAATGCAAGACAACATATGGTCCCATTATACAGTATGGCGCATATACCGTACGGTATGTTCGGATTGTAATGTTGGCCTTCTTGGATACTAGGGTTTGTCTACATTTCTTCATTTTCGTTGATCTCCTTCAATGGTTTGTCCTTCGGGTTGACGTCATTTCCGTTACTGAAAGTAAACATCTGCGTGTTCCCCTTGGTGGACTTGGCCGTCATGGGCTCGGACTCGCTGGACGCGGTGGACACTGTCCGAGTAGGAGTGTTTCCCAGGTCGTAACTGCTCGCTGGGCGGAAGTACGGGCGCATCTCATGGCGCAACTGTCGAAGAAATTAACGTATTATGGTTATTGTGATGTGTTTTGTTGTCTAATTCCGCACTCAGCGGTAGTCAAGCTATACAACGGCGGTATGTAAATACTTTAGTGTGGACCAGGCAATCCAGTGATTAATATCATGAACATCGATCTAGGCAATTGGGATACGATGACATGTATCAACCAAGTCAGCGCGTCTGACCAACCGATCCCGTTTTTCGCCTCCTACGGCAAGCATAGGGTGCTGAAGACCTATTCTAACCCGGATCTTTACGGGTCTTGAACTGTGAATGTTTGTAGACTCTATCACGCATTTTATTACAGCCATATCATCACCGACGTGAGATACTTAAACTACTATAATAACACATAATAGGGATCATACGTTGTAATCTTTTGGGGAAGAAATGGAATTTTGGTGTGTGGTGTGAAGGGGGAACGCTTTCACCTATTAGCCACATAACCTTTTTCGCCCCTACGCTTGTCTCGCAAAACGGATAACTCGACATTCCATGAACCAAAGAATAAAATTTCCTCTAAACTCACGGCTGGCTCCTCCTCGTCTCCGCCTATAAATGGCGGGCGGCGCCGTCTCTTTCTGAAAATAGAAAAAAAACCCCGAATATATCGTAAATATAAAACACCAGAGAATAACAAATCTCGATTGTCTATCGCAGTACAGGCCGTATAAATCAAATCATTTCACACGACAGCGCATTTACTGATTTTGAAACTAAGACGACACGTTAACTTTGGGTTACGTCCTCGGGATGTAATGCATGAACATGTGAAAGATTTACCTCAGGATGCAGTATATGAACAGGTGAAAGTATTACTTCAGGATGCAGTATTTGAACATGTGAAAGTATTACCTCAGGATGCAATAGATGGACTCGTGAAAGTATTACTTCAGGATGCAGTATATGAACTCGTGAGAGTATTACATCAGGATGCAATATATGAACACGTGAAAGTATTACCCCATGATGCAATAGATGAAGACGTGAAAGTATTACTTCAGGATGCAGTATATGAACACGTGAAAGTATTACCCCATGATGCAATAGATGAAGACGTGAAAGTATTACTTCAGGATGCAGTATATGAACTCGTGAGAGTATTACATCAGGATGCAATATATGAACACGTGAAAGTATTACCCCATGATGCAATAGATGAAGACGTGAAAGTATTACTTCAGGATGCAGTATATGAACACGTGAAAGTATTACCCCATGATGCAATAGATGAAGACGTGAAAGTATTACTTCAGGATGCAGTATATGAACTCGTGAGAGTATAACATCAGGATGCAATATATGAACACGTGCAAGTATAACATCAGGATGCAATATATGAACACGTGCAAGTATTACATCAGGATGCAATATATGAACACGTGCAAGTATTACATCAGGATGCAATATATGAACACGTGCAAGTATTACATCAGGATGCAATATATGAACACGTGCAAGTATTACATCAGGATGCAGTATTTCAACACGTGCAAGCATTACCTCAGGATGCAGTATATGCCAGCGATGATGATCTCTAAGCCAATCACTGCTGCCAGAATCCCTACAACTATCTTCAGAGTGTTATTCTCGGCCTTCAACTCTGAAGCAGAAATGCAGACATATGAATCAACGGGTCTCTGTTTTACCTTGATACACTCACATGTGAAAACAACAATAATACGTTGCCAGTAGAAATAAACTATAAATTAAAACCTCGATCTGATTTCATTTAGCAAGGTCTGAATATGAACATTCAGATTTACAATTATACAGAAAAACGAACGAGATAAAAGTATTTTAATGACATGCTTACTTTATTTTAATTTAACACTTTCCACGAACACTTAGTTTTTAAAAGAGCGTTAATAATAAATACAGTTTAAACAGAAATTGTTTTTAAAGGTAGTAAGAATGAAAACAAACAACAAAATAAAAACTAAATAAAAACATCAGGTCACTTTTTCTTATTTTTCCAACCATGCTAGTACATCGAATTACATGTTACAGATTCGCTGACAAAGCACAAATTACTAATCCAAATATATACACTTAAGGTGATATCTGTATACACTTTAATGAGCGTTAAATGTACTTTTGATATCAATAAATATTATGAATCAAATGAGACCTAATGGTGTATCCGAGGTTATTATCATAATCATAAAAGCGCGACACATCTGGACACGCGTCCTTGCAATGGTAACACAGAAAGAGTTGGCGCAACACACCAAAAATATAAAGCTGAGTCGGGTTATCAATCAAAGGAGGAACTGTCCTTGAAACAGATATATGCACCAATGATAAAGAAGTCACAGGTCAAGCATGATTCCTTGCAAGGTGACATAATGCTGGGGCAAAGAGACAAAGGGGTGTTGCATAATAGTACAAAGTAATGCAACTGTAGGTGTACTAAAATAGAATGGTAATTTATTTAACACAATGAAACTATGTTAATTTTAATTCAACAAAGTTCATATTCATGTCAAATTTTAAAATGCTGATAAATTAGTTCTAACATTTACAAATTTACATATAAATACAGACGATTACAGCTTCAAATATATACTGTCAACATAATAAGGAAAAAACAACAAATGAAGCAAACAACAGTGTATAATTTGGATGATTTGTGAAACTGGAATATTGTTTTATTTAATGCAGATGTGACAGGCAATGCAAATGAAACATGCACATAAAACGTGTTGAAGGCATCAAGCAAGTTAAACCGTGATGGTAGGAGCGCGTTTTGTTCGACTAAGAACTGTGGAAACAGTAGTCAAAGGACGACATCGTGGTCAGGGAGAATAGCAAGGGTGGTAACGATAGGGAAAGCTGTACAGACACGTGTTGCGAGTTACACACGTGGTGGGGCTTAGATACGTGTTATGATATAGAGACGTGTTGTGACATGGACTCTCGATTGTTCCAACCTCCAAGACGCTTGTCAGTCCTCCCCTTTATGGCGTCCGGAGTTGTGGATATAACTGACCGACTAGTGTGGTCAGGGTTATCTGAAGACCTTCCTGTGGACACTGGTTGGCCTGCAGTGGACGAGGCAATGGATGATGTTCCCCAGGAGGATGCAGTTTGGGATGTCATGGTGCCGACAGCCGTTGAAGTCACCCCACTGTTGGTGGTGCTGCTGGTAGCTGTAGGGATCGTACTATTGCTTGTACTGCTTGTACTTCGTACAGGTGAAGTCACCCCGCTGTTGGTGGTGTTGCTGGTAGCTGTAGGGGTCGTACTACTGCTTGTACTACCTGCAGGTGAAGTATTAGGTGCCACTGTTGATTGGGTGGTTGGTGTGATACTCGATTTAGGTCCAGAAGACGTAGAAACAATACTTGTTGTGGGTGTGTCTATTCCCCCTGTAGTGGCGATCGTACCAACCGTGAGGCTTGTGGACATGTCGACGTTGTTTATGGTGTTTGTTGGAGATCCTGCGGTTAGTGTTGTTGAGCCTGTTGTTACGGAGGATGGGGGAAGAGACACGGTGCTTGTAAACGGTTTTGTTGTCACACTAGAAGCTGAAGAAGAAGGAGAAGAAACTGATGCAGATACCGTACTCTCTGATTTCCCTGAAATGTGACAAGATGCTGGGGTAAAGAAACAAAGGGGTGTTTTATAATCAATAGTATACATTGATGAAACTGTCAGGTTCACTGAAATAGAACGGAGAACTTTCTTCACATGATGAATATATCTAATTTATTTCGTATCCATGTTCATCATTGATGAGGTGATGAAATAATTCTAACGCTTACAACCGTACATATCAACACAAACGGTTATGTTTTCCAATGTATGTCAACATAATCAGCCAAAAAACAGTGTAACAAATAACATAATACGATTGTATGACTTGGGTAACATATGAATCTAGCAGATTGTTTGATTAAAGCGAGTGAGTGTGAGTGAGTTGGGTTTAACGCCGCTTTTTAACAGTATTCCAGTTATATCGCGGCGTGTCAGCTTAATGTGAGAGGAAAGCCCGAAGTGATGCAGGTCTCAGACGTTTACCACTTTGGTGAAACCCACGAGCACGGGTATGGTGCTAACTAACCTAGAAACGTAATCGGGTCGAACCGGGATTCGAACCCACAATCATAGGTTTCTGGCGTGCCCAAGGGACTCAACTCTGCACAACGAATCGCGGCGCCTTAGACGACTGAGCCACCCGTGCCCCTTTTATTAAAGCAGTTGTGAAAGGCAATACACATGATACAAGCACATTAACATGATAGTAGGAGCGTGTTTTGTACAATGAAGCACAGTGGATCCTTTTAATTCACCCAGGCAAACGACAATGACATGACGACATCGTAGTCAGAGAGAATAGGAAGGGTGGAGTAACGATAGAGGAAGCTGTGCAGACACGTGTCGCGAGTTAGAGACGTGTAGAGGCTTCGAGACGGGACACCAACAACTGACTGCAACTGAAACACATGCTGTGACAAAGGCACTTGCTGCAACATAAACAAGTGTTGTGACATAGACCCGTGATTGCTCCAACCTCCAGAGCTCCTGTCAGTCCTCCCCTCCGTGCTGTGCAGAGTTGTGGATATAACTGACCGACTAGTGTGGTCAGGGTTATCTGAAGATCTTCCTGTGGACACTGGTTGAGCTGCAGTAGATGAGGAAAAGGATGATGATCCTGAGGAGGAAGGTGTTGGGGATGTCATGGTGCCGGCAGCCGTTGAAGTCCCCCCACTGTTGGTAGTGCTGCTGGCAGCTGTAGGGGTCCCACTACTACTTGTACTGCTTGCTGGTGAAACATGAGGTGCCATTGTGGTTGGGCTTGATAGGGTGGCTGATGTAATACTCGATTGGGGTCCAGAAGACGTGGAACCAATACTAGTTGTGCTTGTGGCTATTCCCTCTGTAGACGCGGTCGTACCACCCGCGGGGCTCGTGGAGGTGTCAACGTTGTTTGTGGTGCTTGCTGGAGGGCCTGTAGTTTGTATTATTGAGCTTGTTGTTACGGAGGATGAGGAAAAAGATTCGGCGGATGTGACAGTATTTGTTGTCACACTAGAAGTTGCTAATGAAGAAGGAAATGATGCAGTTACGGCGCTCGCTGATTGGGTTGGTGAATTCATTGAGGGCGTTTGTGTTGTCACTGGAGACGTGGATATGGGGTTATCACCTGCAGGTGTACTACCAGAGACACTAGATGTTGGTGGAGTTGATGGAGATGTAGGCATCGATGTAGGCACAGTCTGGCTTGAAGAAGCCTGAGCGGTTGAAATCGTCGATTGAATGGTAGATGTTGATGTTGATGCTGTAAACGTAGAATGTACTGTACATGCTGTCATTAACCTGTTACGGGGCACATGCGTATCGTGACGATGGACATGAAGTTAGTGAGTTGGGTTTAACGCCGCTTTGAATAACATTCCAGTTATACCTCGGCGTGTCAGCTTCACGTTGTTGGAATACCCGAAATGATGCAGGTCCAAAACCTTTACCACTTTGGTGAAACCCACGAGCACGGATAAGGTGCTGACAAACCTAGAAACATAATCGGAACAAACCGGGATTCAAACCAATGATCACAGGCTTCTGGCGTACACAAGGGACGCTACTCTGCACAGGGTCACCCTTGACCCAAAAAGATAGATGAACAAACAAAGGAATTGTACTTAACCTTTTTCGCGATGCATATAGATGAGATGGTCTGCGGGTTAGGTGTTTGGTTGGAGTAAGAAAAATGACAAGGAATAAAATAGTAATAATATAGCATTATAATTTCAGTAAGTATATGTACCTGTTTGCTACAATGTATGATATACAGATTTGCTTCAGGGTTTCAGTGTAAAGTAACTAAGCCATATGGCAGGATCCATACCTTTAACATGGAGTGGAAAGTAGTAGTAGTACTGTTTTGCTTGCCTTTCAAGTCATGTATGTACACGCATTCTAATTATGCTTTGGGACATGGGCTCATTATTATGTCCAGCGTTTGTAATATCACTGAGTGTGATTAATCAGTTGATCTGTGATCAGGAATAAAAGGCGGTTATTCAACTACATGTCACGATGTTTGTGGTCCACACGAGTGCTCTATATATATGTATCTATAATGCATAATTCTGGATAAACCCCGCGGGGAGTCCGGGTGGGAGTGACTCCCAGCAACCTAAGAGGCGACCAAATGGATCGGGTGATCAGGCTCGGTGATGAGGTGGATGGTTTGTCACCGTACCCCGACGTCGTGGATTCTTGTCCACATTGTCCGCGTTACTATAGTAGAACTACCGCGATACAGGCCAAACCTACCGCGTAACTACAGTAGAACTACCGCGATACTGGCCAAAGCTACCGCGTTACTATAGCAGAACTACCGCGATACTGGCCAAAACTACCGCGTTACTATAGAAGAACTACCGCGATACTGGCCAAACCTCCCCCGTAACTATAGTAGAACTACCGCGATACTGGCCAAAGCTACCCCGTAACCATAGTAGAACTACCGCGATACTGGCCAAACCTACCGCGTTACTATAGAAGAACTACCGCGATACTGGCCAAACCTACCGCGTAACTACAGTAGAACTACCGCGTTACTATAGTAGAACTACCGCGATACTGGCCAAAGGTACCGCGTAACTATAGTAGAACTACCGCGTTACTATAGTAGAACTCCGCCAAACTGGCCAAACCTACCGCGTTACTATAGTAGAACTACCGCGATACTGGCTAAACCTGCTGCGTTACTATAGTAGAACTACCGCGATACTGGCCAAAGCTACCCCGTTACCATAGTAGAACTACCGCAATACTGGCCAAACCTACCCCGTAACCATAGTAGAACTACCGCGATACTGGCCAAAACTACTGCGTTACTATAGTAGAACTACCGCGATACTGGCTAAACCTGCTGCGTTACTATTGTAGAACTACCACGATACTGGCTAAACCTGCTGCGTTACTATAGTAGAACTACCGCGATACTGGCTAAACCTGCTGCGTTACTCAGTAGAACTACCGCGATACTGCCTAAACCTGCTGCGTTACTATTGTAGAACTACCGCGATACTGGCTAAACCTGCTGCGTTACTATAGTAGAACTACCGCGATACTGGCTAAACCTGCTGCGTTACTACAGTAGAACTACCGCGATACTGCCTAAACCTGCTGCGTTACTATTGTAGAACTACCGCGATACTGGCTAAACCTGCTGTGTTACTATAGTAGAACTACCGCGATACTGGCTAAACCTGCTGCGTTACTACAGTAGAACTACCGCGATACTGGCTAAACCTGCTGCGTTACTACAGTAGAACTACCGCGATACTGGCTAAACCTACCGCGTTACTATAGTAGAAGTATCGCGATACTGGCTAAACCTGCTGCGTTACTACAGTAGAACTACCGCGATACTGGCTAAACCTGCTGCGTTACTACAGTAGAACTACCGCGATACTGGCTAAACTTGCTGCGTTACTATAGTAGAACTACCGCGATACTGGCTAAACCTACTGCGTTACTATAGTAGAACTACCGCGATACTGGCTAAACCTGCTGCGTTACTATAGTAGAACTACCGCGATACTGGCTAAACCTACCGCGTTACTATAGTAGAACTACCGTGATACTGACTAAACCTGCTGCGTTACTATTGTAGAACTACCGCGATACTGGCTAAACCTGCTGCGTTACTATAGTAGAACTACCGCGATACTGGCTAAACCTACCGCGTTACTATAGTAGAACTACCGCGATACTGGCTAAACCTGCTGCGTTACTATAGTAGAACTACCGCGATACTGGCTAAACCTGCTGCGTTACGACTGTGGACCTACAGTACCACAAAGTACCCCGTCACTGTCACAGGACAACCGCGATACTACCTGTACAAGCAATTCATTGAAAACTTAACATATTTGCAACTGTATGCTGATTGACATTAACTCTGCAAACTCACACAACCGACCACCGAGTATGGGTAGTTGGTAATTGTCGGGTTGATGCATAATCATGCATTAATCTTACCCGAATCTTGGCGCATAGCTGTCGTCAATGGTGTGGTTTTCAGCGTGGTAGGAGAAGTCGTAGGCGACGTTGTTGAAGGTGTTGCCGTGGTTGTGGTTGGAGTTGTAGTTGTAATTGCAGTTGTAGTTGTAGGTGTAGTCGTGATTGTAGTCGTCTTTGTGGTTGTTGTCGGAGTCGTCGGTGTAGCGGAAGTAGTTGGTGTCATGGTGGTTGTCGTGGTGGCTGTCGGGCTGGTTGTTAGGGATGGTGTTGTTGGGGCTGTTGTTATTGGGGCTGTTGTTGAAGATGTTGATGGCTCAATTGTCGTTGATGACAATGTACAACACGACGACACCAACACTGAAGAAATAAAACAATTAATTCTTAATACATAAAACGGAAATACCTGCACAGATGTACACTCGCGTCTTTAAACTAGAAAGGGGCGGTCGGGTAGCCTAGTGGTTAAAGCGTTCGCTCGTCACGCTGAAGACCCGGGTTCGATTCCTGACATGGGTACAATGTGTGAAGCCCATTTCTGGTGTCCCCCGCCGTGATATTGCTGGAATATTGCTAAAAGCGGCGTAAAACCATACTCCCTCCCTCACTCACTCTTTAAACTAGAGCAGTCTAACATTTACATGAATATAAATCGATTCAGTTAGAGAACGGTGGGGCAGCATATGCGCTTCAAGCAATCCCTCGACAAGAGTTTGATTCCAAATATGGGTAAATGTATATGCGAGAAATTTGTGTCAACTGCTATGAAGATCGCAGAAAGTATGTGAAAGAGTAATATTCTAATACCGCCTGCGTTAGATCTGTCCTGTTTACAGCCGTGCTCGTCATAGTTCATTAGACAGTTTGTTTGTTGTTTTACGCCGCACTCAGCAATATTCCAGCTATTCCAATATGCAGCATTCCGGTCTGTAAATAATCGAGTCTGGACCAGGCAATCCAGTGATTGACATCATGAGCATCGATCCAATTGGGATACGATGACATGCATCAACCAAGTCAGCGAGCTGACCACCCGATCCCGTTAGTTGCCTCTTACGACAAGCATAGTCGTCTTTTATGGCAAGCATGGGTTGCTGAAGATTATTCTACCCCGGATCTTCACGAGTCCCATCAGACTGTAGATCATTTGTATCACATTGTAGATTTTTTCAAGAAATACAATACTGTCTTTGTCCCAGATTTGTTTACTCAGAATATTTGTGTTGTGTTGATATGGACAGTGGGGAACTGTTGACAGTTTTTTTGGAAAACAAGTTCCTTCCAGACAGGGACATGTTTTACAGTTGTACTTGAGTTTGTCCACAAGTTCCGATGTTACTGAAAAATGTTAAAGCGGCGTAAAATCCAGCTTACTCCTGATCACCATTATCAATTAAACTGTAACTGTTAACGGTAACTGTGTGCCAGGGCCTTTGATTTACAACCCAGCTTTTACTTCACCTCAGCTTTCGTTAATTAAGAAAACAACAGCATACTGCAGTTTGTGATTATTACATGAACTCTGTTAATAATTTTATAATTTATCACATTAGACTCAACCAATACAGGATTACTCACACTTCAGATAACCGAATACACTACTACTCGAAAGTACGTTACACCACAACGTATTAATAAATAACTTTACTTTTGAGTCTACTGTACAGAGACTCTTGTGTTATTTTATGAGACAGATCTCCTACAAACAAGGTGATCAGCGGGTATTGGAATCAGCATACTTCACAAGCTCAAGATAAGAGAGGTTTGAAATCCTACTTGAATTATTGAACGCCATGAAGTTAATATTCGGTTCTGCATTGCTATGTTTCCTATCAACGGCAACGGCAAGTATAATAATTGTGTTTCTCTTAAATGATGTCCGTGCGTGCGTGTGTGTGTGTGTGCGTGTGTGTGTGTGTGTGTGTGTGTGTGTGTGTGTGTGTTCCATAGTTCAAGATAGAGATGTTTGAAGAACTACTTATTCATTTAACGTTTATTTCCTTTTACAGGGAAGCTCAATCATGGTGTTTGTCTTCAATTGTCTGGCGACAATAGGGAGGGTAGCGTTGTGTTGTGTTGTGTTGTGTGGTGTGGTAAGTGTTGTGTTGCGTGGTTTGGATTGCTTGGTTTGGTTTGTGTTGTATTGTGTGGTGTTGTGTTGTGTTGTGGTAAGTGTTGTGTTGCGTGGTTTGGTTTGGTTTGTACTGTGTGGTCTAAATTGGTTTGGTTTGGTTTGTGTTGTGTGATTTGGTTTGGTTTGGTTTGGTTTGGGTTGTGTTGGGTTGTGTTGGGTGGGGTGGGGTGGGGTGGGGTGGGGTGGGCTCGGGTGGGGTATTGGGGTGGGGTTGGGTGGGGTGGTTTGGTTTGGTTTGGTTTGGGTTGGGGTGTGTTGTGTTGGGTGACATACTTTATCGTCAATTCTATCTGTGGTGATATTTTCTGCAGTGTCAGAGGTCGGCACAATTTGCTGTGTATAGTTACGACCCTTAATCGCACCAGGAGTCGCTGATGGTGTACTTTTGGATCAGAGAATGCCAATGTCAATAAGAACTCCCCCCAACCCCTCTGCTACATCGTGTAGCTAATTTCCCAGGATCCGCTGGTCATGGGATCGAATCGCCTCATACGACGAACTAATAAGACTTGGTTCCGGGTTCTAACCCGGATTCTAACCCGGATCACGGGGATGAATAGGAACACATATATCCATCACCACAATGACCATTCTACTTTATACTGCTGCAAGTGACACATATGTGCAGATACGCTCAGCCCTAGTTCCTAGTTCCGTGGGCACGGCGTCTGTTAGTCGGAATAGGAAGTTTAATATACAAGGAAAACATGTACAAAAACAAATAACATTAAAATAGTTGTGTGAACCCTGATAACAAACGAGTGTGAGAATAATTATATTGAAGATACAGAATGACAATATCTAAACTGGGTACAATATGTGAAGCCCATTTCTGGTATCCCCCGCCGTGATATTGCTGGAATATTACTAAAAGTGGCGTAAAACCGTACTCACTCACTCACTCACTCACTCTCAATGCTATCCCCGTCGATGTTTATATGAGTACGTGTGTGAGTTGTGCTTTACTCCCAATTTAGCTATATTCAAGTCATGTCATGCTGGCGGCCTATTCACGAAGCTGTCTTATCGAAGACAAGTGTTTTACGACTACAATTACGACTGCTATTCCCGAAGCTGTTTAAATCTATCGCAACATTATCTTAGTTACGACACAAATGTCACGTTAAGACATTTTTCTTTTAACGGAAGGTTTCCTAATGACATCATCGATTATTCAGGGAATTCCCAGACTGAAATTCAATTCACGTAGGCATATATATTTGTGTATACATATAATTTTTAAAGATATACAACTATACCGCAATTGAAGAAAATATTTATGTTATGATTAATGTCTTTGTTGATATTTTTTTTGCCAGAGGGCGGTTTTATTGATATTTTGGTTACGTACAATTAATCAGAGGTATATGAAGAAGTTATCCTTTATAGATAGATATAACAAGCACGGATATTTCTCTCATGAAGCGTTGCATGAACCGCGTCAAAGCGGGACGTCACAAGGATGCCGCAACGTTAGGATACATACGGGGACGCATACATAAAAACACACCTGCAACTTGCAATATGTTCGAAATAATTTGTAAGCAAAACAAGGACGATAGAAATGCACTGCTTAACCTTAGAAAGAACCGTGCTTACCTAAAACAACAACAGAATATTGCACAATGAAATCATTCAACTGATATTGTTTACGACAATGATATTTCAGACTGCGATAAGAAAGCTATCCGAGAGTCTAGTGAAAATCACAAGGACTGGTATGATACAGTTGGACACAAAGCTAGTTGGTTAAATATTCGTAGCGATACTGATTTTATGTAACATAGGAAAATGTTATTTGAGCATATCGTCTGAGCATCTAAAAAATTAAACGGCGAAACAAACATGGAGTGAGTTAGTGTCTGACTAATGCAGGTCTCGGACGTTTACCACTCAGGTGAAACCCACGAGATCGGGTACGGTTCTGACAAACCTAGAAACATAATCGGGGCGAACCGGGATTCGAACCCACAATCTTAGGATCCAGGCGTTTCCAAGGGACGCAACTCTGCACAGCGTCTGGGCCACCCGCGCCCCCGAAACAAACATTGACGAAAGTTTGCGAGTTGAAAATCATTTATCGCTTTTTCATCCTTGAAACTCACATCAAAAATATACATTTTGATACCTAATACTTTAAGAAAAAAGGACAGAAACAAAAGAATTATAAATAGGACGTAGCAGTATCCTGTATGTATGTTTCATTGTTATATTTCAGGATTTCCTTCTGCTGGGGAAAAGGACGTATACATTTGAAAATTGGATTTGAAAAACAAAACGTTGTCAAAACGTTATTAGGCTGAAGAACGTCGCCGAAACATTGCAAACACAACTATGTAACCCGTATAAAATACATCGCAATCTAATAACCATTTCTTGATGGTTTCATTTTAAGTCACAATCAAACATAAGTGTAGATTTCAGTTTGCCCTTCAGCTTATCTCCGGTGACCTGTCACTCTGCAGGATGTCATGTCAAGTAAACCAGGAACATGTCTACCAGGACAAGGAATACGTATATTTTATCGGTAAGGCAACATGTCAACAAAATGTCAAAGACTGATTGCTACACACCTTTTCAGCATACAGTGAGTGAGTGGGTGAGTGAGTTGGGTTTAAGGCCGCTTGTAACAGTATTCCAGTTATATCACGGCGTGTCAGCTTAATGTGGGAGGAAAGCCCGAAGCGATGCAGGTCTCGGACGTATTTGAACAAGTCTTTGACCCAGCTGATTTTCAAAGGATTGGTACAGATGGGCGACAGGGCAACACGGTCACAGTTTTGCTTATACAGTAAACTACGGTTATAACGAACTCAAGGGGACTACTAATTTTCGTTCATTATAACCGTAGTTTGTTTAGGCATATATACAGCATAACAACAGCAAATAGTTGGGACCAAAAAGTAAGTTCGTTTTATCCGTCAGTTCGATATAAGAGTGTTCGTTATAACCGTAGTTTACTGTATTTCAATTTTCAATTGATCTTTTCAACTCATTTTAGCCATACTTATGTATTTGATCATGCAATTGTAAGAAGGTGAGGTGGGGTGATTATTGCACTAAAATGCACATGTGTTTGTGGCTGCTTGTACTAGTCCGGACTGATGCCGATTTATAGTGCTAGCTCACTGAGATACCATGCCGCAGTTTAACATGAATACCCCACTCAGACACAGTATACTGACTCCGAGCCGACCAGTCCTTGTTTTAGCCCCTTAATGCCAAGCGCCAGACAGGGTAACAACAAGTACCATATTTTCAAACACCGTTCAAACACCACTTTGTTTGCCGATGAACTCAAATTTTATGATTGATATTAATCAAGCAGTTAGCATGATTAATTATTACTGTGGAGGCATACAAGGCACTACAGCGTCTAGGGACACGTTGACATTGTCCATCTAGGGCGCCCCAAATCGCTCTACGTATATATATCCCGATACTAGTTACTGTATCTGAAATTCAATAATTACCAGTAATGTCTTGATATATGAATCAAAATGTAATTTCAACAGAAAAGAACATCTTTTATGTCTATTGTTTTATAACAATTACAAATCAACTATAGCGATATATATATATATACACGCATATATATATATACATATATATATGTGCTTGTGTGTGTGTGTGTGTGTGTGTGTGTGTGTGTGTGTGTGTGTGTGTGTGTGTGTGTTCTGTAGCTTTAAAGGGGGGCTCCCATCGGGTTAACAATCCCAGCAATACACGATATTACACATGGCAAACATTACAATGTTTGGATCTGCACGGGAGTTGGGCATCCAACTGCGGAACGAAACCCTCCTTTTAACGGATTAATTAGTACGCGAGAGAATTTCAACTGCGGGGCAAAACAAAGTATACACTTGAACACTGGATTTGACTTAACAATTACAAACATTATCAAAACGTTACTAGGCTGAAAACAGTCGTCGAAACACGACAAACTCAAGGTTCTAAACACACATATCATACCCGTATCAAATACACCACCATCGAATAACAGGCTCTTGTTTGTTAGTTTTAGCCACCTGAAACAGGGGTGTATGTTTCCTTTTACCCGGCAGGTTACATATATATATATAATTAATGTCGCAGTCAGCAATACCGTATTCGACGTAATAAGCGCCCCGCTCTAATAAGCGCCCACGACGATATTTGCTAATATATTGGCGAGTGAACAATCCCAATTAGCACCCTTCCGATTGATCAATGTACACAAGACTTATTTATTCGTATATAATACACACTCGTGTAAATTCTGAAAAATATATCTGTCGTACATAAACATTTCAGGCTGTCAGCATAAACCACAAAATGTATCTTTCAACTCTGTTTTTTTTACCAAAATAATATTCTAATAAGAGCCCCCTATTTCTAATTTTGAGAGCGCCCAGGGCGCTTATTACGTCGAATACGGTAATCCATATATATCATGATGGCCCCAAAATAAAGAAATTTGGACCAGGGAATGCCAACTGTGAACAGGACGATCAACGACCCACACGAAGTTTATTATGAAGGGTAACAGCGTGCACAATACAATCTTAACAACTGACATCTCATATTACACAATAAAAACAATATTGATGTCAAGAATATACATAACTATATTATTTCGAAACATTGATGTGTTTTATAAAGTAATGCTCAGCTAGGCACGTTCAGGACATAGCAAAATTTACTACAGATTGTAAACGCACCATAAACCTGACGCGTCTCACTACTGTCTACAGTTGATTAGGAGACAGGTGGCCCAGTCTTCAAAGGCGCCAGGCGCTGTGTCACGTCACAAATAACATCTCCTAGACCCGCCAGAAACCAATGATCGTGGGTTCGAATCCCGGTTCGCCGGTTACGTGTCAACAACACGCCAGTGTTCCTGGGCTTCCCCAAAGTGGTAAACGTCTAAGGCATGCATCATTCAGGATTAACGCTTGCTAAAGCGGCGCTAAGGCCACTTACTCAGGAATGAACGAACGAATAAACGAACGAATAAACGAAAGAACGAACGAACGAATGAGTGCGTTTCAAGCTACAGCTGTGTGAGATTCACAAACATTTGACTTTAACAAATGGCATCATACAAGTGCAGCATATAAGTACTAATCATCTTAAAAGCAACTTACAGAAAATAGAAACAACGGAGACATCGAAGTCACTTGACAATTTACTTAAAATTGTGTTCGTTTGCTTTTGTGATTAGAAAATAATACTTACAAATAAATAACGTTGTTAAAAACCTAGTCGCATCCATGTTTAAATGATAACGGTGACAATCACTTGTTCACAGTCGGACTGTATACTCGTCAGATGCTCCCCAGCTGTCGGACATCCATTGTCGTCAAGGATGTGCTTTGTGAGCGGCTAGATGCGACACAGGGACACCACGTCCGTGTTGCAGTCTGAAAGTGAAGATGAATACGGACTTAGTTACTGATAAAGTCACTAAAGCCATATCAGAGAGTAGAGTGAGTGAGTGAGTGAGCTTTAACAGTATTCCAGTTATATCACGGCGTGTCAGCTTAATGTGGGAGGGAAGCCCGAAGTGGAGGCAGGTCTTAGACGTTCACCACTTCGGTGAAACCCACGAGCACGGGTATGGTGTTGACAAACCTAGAAACATAACCGGGGCGAACCGGGATTCGAACCCACAATCATAGATTTCTGGCGTGCCCAAGAGACGCAACTCTGCACAGCGAATCGCGCGGCTTAGACGACTGGGCCACCCGTGCGAGTAGAATGAAGAATAGACAAGAAGAGTCAAACAGATAATTCTCAAAATCTATTCATATGTAATATCGTGAATAAACGGAGGTTTCCGATGCAAAGATATTATAGAGAGTGAGTGACTGAAACACCGTTTTGGACAATATTTCACTTATATCACAGCGTTTCAACTTGATGTGGGAGGAAATCCCGAAGGTATGCAGGTCTAAGACATTTACCACATTGGTGAAGCCGACGGCCACGCGTATGGCTCCGACACACCTACAACCATATGCAGGGCGGAGCTGGGATTCGAACCCATTTAGGTTTCTGGTACGTCTAAGGGATATAACTCTGCAAAGCAAATTGCTGCTGCGGTATATAGGCTTCTTCGCACCCCCTGCTTCCCCGTTGTCATACAACGATGCAATAACTTCCTCATTATAACGATAAAGTGTGATTTAACAAACACACAAAGACTATGATACAGCGTTTACATGTCAGTCTGGTACATACATCAATAACAATACAAATATACCGTGACATTGTGACGCACTGATGAAGACTGTACACAGGAACAAGGACACAGAGCTGTGACACAAGGACACAAAAATGTGATACGGAGGCACAATGGAGTGACAAGGAAGCTCATGAGCTTCAAAGAGAGGGTACGGAGGGGCGTTTATAGCATGGGATAGTTATGTCATGGCGAAAATATTGATGCTGCTTGAATGCGTTTCATATTCCTCATGTTGAGTACTTAGTAAAATGACGGAAGCACAAGATAATGCTGAAAAGGGTTACATTCCTGATCATTGAGAAGGCTTGTTTTGTAATGTTTTGTTTGTTTGTTGTTTAACGCCCACTCAGCAATAGTCCAGCTATATAATGACGGTCTGTAAAATAATCGAGTCTGGACCAGACAGTCCAGTGATTGACATCATGAGCATCGATCCATACAATTGAGATAAATGACATGCATCAACCAAATCAGCAACCACACGATCCCGTAAGTCGCCTTTTACGACAAGCATAGTCGCCTTTTACGGCAAGCATGGGTTGCTGAAGATCTATTCTACCCCGGATCTTCACGGGTCTTGTGTACATGTTGTGGAGTGTAAATAGGTAGGCTCTTTATAGTCCTCCACCATGACTGTGTAATACATTTATTTTATGAAAAAAACAAAGCTAGATATGTATACAAAAGCAAGTCTAGCCAGCTCTACCTAGCTCTAGTCCACACCTGATACTTCCATGCCCTGCCCAGACCCGTGAAGATCCGGGTTAGAACAGGTCTTCAGCAACCCATGCTTGCCGTAAAAGGTGACTATGCTTGTCGTAAAAGGCGACTTACGGGATCGGGTGGTCAGGCTCGCTGACTTGGTTAATGCATGTCATCGGTCCCAATTGTGTGGATCGATGCTCATGATATTAATCACTGGATTGTCTGGTCCAGACTCGATTATTTACAGATCGCCGCCATAAAGCTGGATTATTACTGAGTGCGGCGTTAAACAACAAACCAACCAACCAAACAACCATGCCCTGCCCTCTCCCTTCCCCCTATCCCCAACCAAGACTGCTGTCCAGGGATACAGGGATAAATACAGGGATGGAACCTATGTGTCGGGTGCTGTGGACAGATAGGTTGATACGGGGGTCAGAGAATGCGCTTTAGAAACTTTATTTGGACACTTACATATGTCCAATTTACATTTAAGATTGTTCTGATTGGAATGCTCTCAAAATGATTAGTCTATGAAATCAGCATCGGGGAATTTTTTTGTTTAATTTTAGAGTCGAGAATGTTGTGTAATGTAAGATTTCAAAGACTTAATGTTAGTCTAGGCTCCTTATACTTGTCAGAGTTGTTTTGAGGTGACTTCAATCGCATTGGTAGATTGCTGTTTGTGAATGACTGTATCGAAATACTCAATAATTGATAGGGATACTGGAATGTTTAACAGGTTGAACAAGTGAACAAAATCTGGACTCTGATAATATCCTTATCAAACGTTGGGTAGTATAACAGAACGGGCTAAACTGAAGGATGCACCACGCAGCTAAAGAAGAAGACGGTAAATAAAAAAATATTAAATTAAGGAAATTTTATTTTGAGAAACGTCATATGAACGACGGCGTGGCTCCGGTGTGAAAGTGTGGGGCTCCGTACACCAATGCATGGTTCAGCCTGACAGAATTTTATCAGCACATGTGTACAAAACTACGGTTTCGGTTTCGTTTCCATACCAAACATACTCTCTCCTGCTTTGTCAGTTTTGTTAATGTTAATGTTTGTTTGTTTCTTGTTTAACGCCGCACTCAGCAATATTCCAGCTATATGACGGCGATCTGTAAATAATCGTGTCTGGACCAGACACTCCAGTGATTGACATCATGAGCATCGATCCGAGCAATTGGGATACGATGACATGCATCAACCAAGTCAGCGAGTTGACCACCCGATTCCGTTAGTCGCCACTTACGCCACTTTCACGGCACGCATGGGTTGCTGAAGACGTATGCTAGCCGTACGATTGAGTGAATTGGGTTTAACGCCGCTTTTAACAGTATTCCAGTTATATCACGGCGTGTCAGCTTAATGTGGGAGGAAAGCCCGAAGTGATGCAGGTCTCAGACGTTTACCACTTCGATGAAACCCACGAGCACGGGTATGGTGTTGACAAACCTAGAAACATAATCGGGGCGAACCGGGATTCGAACCCACAATCATTCGTTTCTGGCGTGTCCAAGGGACTCAACTCTGCACAGCGAATCGCGGCGCCTTAGACGACTGGGCCACCCACTCGAGTCCATCAAATCCTGACCCGTGCCAGGTATTGCCAGAGCGTATGTTATCTAATCTGTGGCAACAAGTAAGTAATATAAAGCACTCGTCTGTTACTCGGGGCTTAACAAATATTTTCCTTGTTCGAATGTCGTGAACAATTCCAGCGAATCAGCGACTGCGACTGTATATTTTATTTCAAGTGGGTCGTCAGAGACTTGGGAAGTTTCCTGGCGAAAACCTACTTTTTCCTCTATTAATTACGTCATTAAAATTCCTTCTACAATCCAAGAATTCTGGTTTAATTCAGGGTCAAAAAGGAAAATACAGTAAACTACGGTTATAACGAACTCAAAGGCACCACTAATTTTAGTTCGTTGTAGCCGTGGTTCGTTATAAGCATATATACAGCATAACTACAGCAAATAGTCGGGACAAAAAAGTAAGTTCGTTATAAGCGTGTTCGTTATAAACGTAGTTTACTGTAGTCGCATATAAATAGTTACATTATTCACCCAGCAAAGCAATGTTTTCATTGTTGTTTTACACCAGGCTTGGCCGGATTAAAACAATATTTAACAGGGGTCTGTAAAGAATCAAATCTGGGCCAGGCTAACCAGTGGTTGATATCATGAGCAACATAAACGTGGTAGGCGTATTATTTGCCATAAAAGACCAAAGCGTTGACGGACGCCATGTATGATATTGGTTTTACGTCACTTGTTTCAGAGTTAACGCTTTCGCTAGAGAATGATACAACAATTGTAATACTCGTTGAAAAGATTTCCATGTTTCAAGACATTTTGGTGTAATATGATATTATACATAAATTATGGCCATCAAGTAGCGTTGACACAACGGTTCATCGCACTCCAAGCCCTGAGAATGTTACAGGTCAGTTCTATGTCGGAATACAATCTAGGTCAATAATGAGTCATTGCATCATCGTACACAACTGTTAAGTCAAGCTCGTCTTTTGGCGTCACGTCGTCACCAATTGCACGTGGATGGGCGTGTCAAGGAAACCCTATTGTCTTCACATTGGTGTCAAACAGCAATGGACGTGTCAAAAGCCGTCACTTTTGTCACCGTACTAACGAAGGTTCAGTCAAGGACATTCCTAAGGCGTCAATGCATAAACATGATTGTGATTATGATGATTATGATGATGATGATTATCATTATTTACAGATTAAAACATAAAATGCAGCAAAGAGGGTTTGGGTGATCCTGGCACAGTCAGGCTGGCTAGGCTGATCATCAGCTCAGGGCCCTTGCCCCCTCTACACGCAGCCCACACAGCGAATGGGAGCGCTGTCTGGTCGAACCGACCGAGAACTTTTCGGAGCATAGCATAACATAATATAAATGATTATTATTACCTCTATGGTAAGGTCCGGTTAAAACCCGTAGTTCAACTTTCAGTTTCGAAAGTATTTGGTTAGTATTTTTTAGATAGGAAATAGTACTGTATTGTTCGTTTCCTTACAGTAACAATGCTATACAATTGATCTTCCGTTTTATTCTGTTCGTTGTGCGTTAGATTTATAACACCAATATTACTCTCGGGCAAGGGATAAGTGTGCTGTCGAACGTCGTTCTCAGCACCCTGTGGAGTATACAACCCTAACTGCCTATAAGGCGCTAGTAGGTTCACAGTTACAATACCAGAAGCATATTTCAAACAAAGCCGCTTACCTAAGAGTACACCACAAATAACATGATGTGTTTTTTAAGTGTAGGGCTGAGCCGAAGCATAAACACCCGGTCACCAATCCACCTCCTCTCCGCGACCAACGTTGCTTAACGTCACCTGATTTGTGACATGTACGCTGTACACAGGACCCTTGTATCCTTTAATGTAACAGGATCTTCTACTGGCTTCGAATATCAGCTTTGCTCTGATTA